GTAAACAGGCCAGACCACATCACAGTAATCTCGTGAGTGGGTTCTTTAACGTCCCCTGCCTAACTAAATTAACTAATTAATAGATGCAGGAGACAGGACCTACGGTTTATTCGTCCTTATTCGAGAAGACTAGAATGTCCATCGATTTCTTGATATTATAGAAAGGTAACGCATTCTCCTCAGTTATTTTAAGACCTTGAGTGTTGGTCCGGCCGGGGCTCGAACCATCGACCTCGACCTCCCGCACAACAGTCCAGCGCTCTAGCCAATTGAGCTAACCGGGAGGCGGTTTTGAAGCGATATTTCACTAGTGTATATATTAGAAAGTAAGGAACTGTAAAATCATTTGTTTGAGCTTTTATGACGAAAGAAAACGGACAAACAACAAATAAATCGTCCAAAGAAAGCTCTGCATCATATTATCGCTTCCCAAACTATTTACATAAGAACAGACTTCAACAACCCCCCCCCCTCTTCGAATTAGATTACGCTGCTTCACAATATTGTACATTTACCGCGTAAACGGCTAATGAATTGAATATAGTCGTTCCTTAATAAGTGCGCTTCAATGTGTAACTTGAATTTCTCTTGGCTAAGCTAAAAGACTTATCTTTGATACTGCACTGGGTATATTAACACGTATTTCCGATCACGACAAAGTCAAATTAGCGCTATTAAACAATAAAAAAGGAATAAATGAAAAAGTGCTGAGAAAACTAATTTTTACTGTACTTACCGTTAAAGAAGATAAATGAGTTTCTCAACTAGGAACTTTATGATTCCACAAGGTAGTTGAAAAGTGATCAATCTTTGCTAACGTTCGGCAAGTTGCACTTACTACACAATGAATGAAACGATTCCTTTCGCATAGAGATGGTTATAATTATAAATCTAATTTTGAAGGCACTTTGAGGGCGATCGGAATGCGGAAAACACCCACTGGTTTTAAAGGTCACTGCACTTGCACGTGTAGTAGAAATCGACAAGATCAGAGGCCAAGTTACAAAAGTATATGAACTGTTAGTTTGAACATCACCATGGAAATCTCTTTCTAAAGAATGGTGTTCTGTTTTGTTTCCGCACAATTGCAAGTAAACATGATCATGTTTACTTCTGTAAAGAACAAGGATTACAGCTAGTTTTGTTTTAACAGCTGAGTTGATAATGCACTGAGCTACCGTTAATTAAGATTATCTACAGCTGACGTTTCCAACGTTCAACCGTATGCAGTCATCAACGCGGGCTCAAGTGTAGTAGGTCTAAAAATGTAGCGAAATTAGCGGAAAATAATAAGGGCTGACATTTAAAACCGATGAACTTGTTTTCATCAAAGGCGTTTTCCTATTTCCAGAGGTTTTAAGGAAAAAATTGATTTCTAAAATTTTTAGGGGGTGTATCAAGTTTTTGGAGGTTGCTCTATAAAAGAAAAGCGGCAAAGAAAATGACGCCTCAAACAAACAGAATGGCAAATCAACCCTCAAAACTACTCAAAATCCGTTTTCCGCGACAAAAACTAGCGTATGTTAGCTAGCTTCCTGGTTAGCTCAATGGATAGAGCGCTGGACTGTTGTGCGGGAGGTCGAGGGTTCGAGCCCCGGCCGGACCAACACTCAAGGTCTTAAAATAATTGAGAAGAATTTGCTACCTTTCTATAATATCAAGAAATGGTTAGATATTCTAGTCTTCTCGGATAGGGACGAATAAATGGAGGTCCCGTCTCCTGCAGGGTTGGGGTAGGAGACGTTAATTTCCCACACACGAGATTACTGTGTGATGGATGTCCTCCCCTGGAGTGGGATGGGTGGGAGGGTGGACTAGCACGAATGGTTCCTATGTTCCTTTCTAGTCCTTCCCCACTGCAAAAACTTAATGCAGTGAAAATGGACTNNNAAGACAACAAGCTCCCTGAATTTTACAGAAGGTACGTGGATGACACGTTTGCTATTGTCACAAGTGTACCAGCGGCAGAAGATTTATTATCAACGCTAAATAACTGCCATCCGTCCATACACTTCACCATGGAGCTAGCATCTGGAAACAAGTTACCTTTTGTCGGTATGGAAGTGCTCAAGAAAGGCTGTAAACTAGAAACTAGTGTTTATCGGAAACCAACAAACACAGGCCTATTGCTTCATCACCAGAGCCACGTCGATAAAAGGTACAAGAAATCACTACTTAAGACCATGTTGAATCGTGCATTCCGCCTGTCGTCCACATGGGAGTCCTTCAAATCTGAATGTGATCATCTAAAGATGATGTTTACAAACCTCAAGTATCCCGACCACCTCATCAATTCCACCATCTCTCACTTTGTCACCTCAGTTAGGTCGGAAAACCCTGGAGTGCAAGCTCAATTATCCGTCAACGAAAATGCTGTTCACCGAGTGGTTTTGCCTTTTAAAGATCAAAAGTCAGCTGACGCAGTGAAAAGGCAATTATCAGATCTAAGCAACAAAATCGATCACACCCTTCATCCCGTGTTCAAGAGTCGCAAAATCTGTGAAGATCTCAGAGTACGTGAGCCTAAACCTCCTATAGTTAGCCAACAATGCGTTGTATATAATTATAAATGTGATCTGTGTGATGCAGAGTACGTCGGGTACACCAGCCGGCATTTACATCAACGTATTAATGAGCACCGTAATTCGGCCATCGGCAAACATCTAAAGAACGACCACGGCCTACAAACCATCGGCGACCTGACCAAGCATTTCAACGTACTTAAAAAGTGCACCGGGAAACTGGACTGTTTAGTTCATGAAATGCTTTTCATAAAGAAGATGAAGCCCTCTTTGAACAAACAATCGGATTCCATACGCGCGAAACTATTTATTTAATAGTTTACATTTATGAACTCAACACGCGCAATTATTTATTTAAATATTTTAAATATTTTAAACTTTTTACGTTTGCCACCTTCGTACAGTATAAATTAACTATTCATTTTTATTCTCTTCTCACTTGAGAATGATGACATGGAGTCATCGAAACGTTGTGTGTTTTTCTCGCTAGTGTTTATTCTTAAATGTCTAACAAAATCTAATGTCATTCGAAGCTTGAACATCACCATTGAAATCTTTGTCTAAAGAATGGTGTTCAGTTTTTTTTTACGCACAAGTAAACATGATCCTAGTTACTTCTGTAAAGGAAACATTCATAAATAATTTGTTTAATCTATTGAGTTGATAATGTACATTAGCCACCTTTAAGAGGATCTAAAGCAGATATTTCCAATGTTCAACCTCTTCGCCTGAAAAAATATTTGACCCTTTGCTGGATCTTCCCAGTGAATAAGATAGGTGCGAATAGTTTCATACAATTTTAAGCTGTTTTTACTCGTTTTAGAGATTCCTTTAACTTCCTAATTGAGTGGATGCACGCTTGTTTGCCTTTGAAAAGGAGTGAGGCTAAGGGCGAACTAGCCATGCTTCAAACGTTGCTGCTTTTCAAATGAAAATTACTTTGCTATCATCCTAACTAGATACTGGTCTCTATCAACAAGGTCACCTTCAGCTTCATTCCAAATCAAAGGCTTAACATCCAAGTACACAACTATAGAATGGCCCATTATTCTGTATGACCAATCTCGTTCCCAGGGCTCTTTCTTTTCGAGGGAAGAAGCGAGAGGAGCTTGGGAAAGAAGTTGGCACATTTTAACCCAATAAAGACTTACACTTAACTCGGACAAGTTCTTCAGAGAAGAATTTATGCAAACCACTCACGAACAAACTATAACAGCAAATCTCAATAAATATCTCTCAAGAATTTTTCATTCCTGACTGCTTGTCAAAATCTAATAACGTTGCAGCCCGTTTCTACTTAATCCCTTTTAAAACTTACACCCTTTTATTATTGGGTGTAAACATTGATGATAATTTAAATTTTCCTGACCACACAAGCAACATTTGTAAAAAAAGTAGCCAAAGGGTAGGCTAATTAATAGATTAAGGAAGTTAATCCCAGTTAAGGCTAAATTACAACTTTTTAAGGCTGCTATCCTGCATTTTCTAACTTATTGTCGTACTATATGGAATTATTGTAAAGCTAGTGATTCTAGAAAATTAGAGAGGGTACAGAAACGGGGCCTTAGCGCTGTTTACTGTGATAGCATATCATCATGTAGCGATCTTCTTAAAAAGGCCAAATTAACAACCCTATATAATAGAAGATTACATGATATAGCCGTGTTAATGTATGAAGTTAAAAACGATCTGTGCCCTAATGATATTAAGAACTTGTTTGACATTAATAATAATAGATAAAATTTAAGAAACAATGATTTCATTATTCCCAGAGTATGCACAACACGTTTTGGTAAGCACTCTCTAAGGTACTTAGGTCCAGTAATCTGGTCTAAGTTAGATGGAAAAACAAGAACACTAACAACGCTACAAGAATTTAAAAGTGCTTTACAACATTAGATATACAAAGTTTAATCTCGTCGGACAATTGCAAGAACTGTATTTTATGCAAATCTTAATATTTTATATTATCAGTATTGTATTTCTAATCCTTTGGATAATTTTAATTACACAGGGTAGGGTAGTACATATATATATATATAGATATATACTTTTATCCCGACTGTGATTAATTTCCCCATCCTCACTCATGAGCCCCTCGTGAGTAAGCTACATCCACTTTCCCCACCCCTCAAATACAATGTTTGCACTCTCAAACCCTCCCCCAGCCTCACCAGCCCTGTGTTTTCTTTTTACTGAGAACGGCCTTGGCCTGCACCAGCCTCCTGGAGACAATCGCCAATAATTATAACGTGCGAAAAATGGTGAGTATCTGGGATGGAAGAGGCTCTCACTATTCCCAGATCACCCCCGTCTCTCGCTTTGATCCTCTTCAGTCTCTTCAGTCTAGTTTCCAGTCTTAATTTCCTGCTCACCTCCCATCCGATCTCATGAACGAGCTAGATTCGCCTTACAGTGGTTTCATTTTCATTGAAACGCACTCGATTTTAGATTGGGAGTCAAATGTTGGGATGTTTACGAGGCAAATACTTCGCCACAATAATTTGAAGAAAACTCAACAAAAATGCGATTAACGCAGTTGTGTTACACAAATGTTGCACAAGTTTGTCACGCAATAAGAGGAAATTGTCAGCGGTTATTCACACTAAAGTTTATGATAAATTGTGGTGAAATCGAAACGCTGTTCTGCACGTGTTGCAAATTTTCATCACTATTTCCGTTTCGTAGCTTCAGTTTTACCTTGTTACGAAACCTGAGCTGCTGGTTGATTTGAGTTAAATTTTATTTCAAGACGAATTATTAGCAGTAAAGTATCAAAAGATACCCGAAAAATGGCAGAAAGCGACGCCGTAAACGGAAACAAGGAAGCACCTTCGGACCTTGAAAAGAAGATCATCAAACAAGTAGAGGTAACGCTGTTATTTTTGTCTACCGTCAGAGTTCACAATGAATAAATTAATATAATTCTTGAGTTAATGTCTAGCTGAAACTACATGTCATTATGTTAAGTTTACGTCTTTGCCAATGTGTTTTGGGCATTATTTTGTCAATCCTTCAGCAGAAAGTTTGACTTAAAAGTAACTTAAACTCATGAGGCTAAGCTGGCTGATAAGCTCCTTGTACTGTTTGATCAGTTTGTACAATATACAATACTTCACGGGAAAACAAGAGTCTGAGTTTCGTGTCCCTAATGGAGACTTAAATTTTGTGTGTTTGACGAAGATAAAGGTCACGGGACAGTTGTTATGAAGTACAAAATTACTATTCAAGCAAGCAAGCTTTATCACATTGATTCATCTGGTACTGCAGGTCCTTAGATTTCCCTGGTCAGCCATTTTTATTAGAAGTTGATTCTTAATTTCAAATCCTCTCTTTGCAGTTTTACTTTGGAGATAAAAATCTTCCCAAGGATAGGTTTCTGCGACAAAAGGCTGAAGAAGATGATGGATGTATCCAGAACTTTGATAGCTATCAAATACTTTAATCAGATGAGCCTTGGAGCTTAAAGGGGAACTGAAGCCTAAAATTGGTATATTGCTTGCATTAATTTCTGGTTAACTTTAGAGGAGTAAGATCAAGTGTCGATATTCATTTTCGTTCACTTCTTATTTTCTATGAAAAAATTCAATTTCAAGTTTCCTTTTTCCCGCTTTTGGGGCTTTAAGACCGTTGGCTCAAAATAAGTCAGCAGCGGTCGTTTATGACGTCAGTGGTGGGGAACCAACTTAAGAAAAACAACTGTTACTATTTCATTTTCGTGGTTAATCCCCATTACAAGCCACGCAACTTTGATAACTCCAAAACCAAACCAAAGTTCTGTAGGAAGAGTATGGGTTTATTATCTTTCTTCCCCACCAGTGATGAAAGAGCGAGCTAAAATAACCGCTGACATTGCTTTTCTGAGCCGCCTTACTATGAGGCCAAAATACTTTAAACTATTTTTTCAAGGTGAAGTTAGGCCCAAAGACTGAAAGAAACCCTCGAACATTGCTATTTGAACTATAAGCTGCAGTTTAAAAAGGGTTCATTTTTAGGCTTCAGTTCCCCTTTAAGAATGCTCTATATTAAAATCTTAAACTACTTCAAAACTAATGATTCATTATCAATATCATTGAGATGTAATGCTCCTGGAAAGTTAAACCCTTAAACTTCCATCGATGACTAAGATAAAATTTCTCCTTACAATATCAAGCAGACAAGTGTTGAGAATAGAAAGGAAAATATCAATCAGGGGATTATTAGTTGATCGAATACAAAATTCCCCAAAGTGGCATTACAAGAATTGTATGGCAGACAGTAAGGAGAATTACTAATCAGATCATGGGTCTGAAAGGTTAAAGCCTGTCAAGATATAACGTAGAGTATTTTTTTTTACATAGTGAAGAGTAGCAAGAACTTGTTTGGCATCCCCCACATTTCCTGAGTGCTTCATATCGCAATGAATGCATTTGTTATGAGGAAAAATTCCCTTTGCTATCCTTCACTGCAAAACCCTCATTATCAGCATGCTCAGTGGGACTTAAAAGCATGATCATGCAATTTAATTTAATTACTCAAAGTTGATCATTTGACAATATAAGAATTGAAAATGTTACCATTTGCAGATTGGACTCTCTGACACAATTTGAAATGTTTGACTTCTCCTTGCAACAGATGAGCATTTAGATTAGGTTGTATCATTGGGATCCAATAGCAAACTCTCTCAACTGCTCCACAAGGAAATATACAGCAGTTATTACTGAGAATTAAGGATTAGATCAAGAGAGTTAAAGGGGTAGGGAAGTTTTTCCTTCATCTATTATCATCATGATGAAAGTATTCGAAAAAGTGACTTCTAATACTCTTAGGGCTTCACTTTTCAGTTATTGTTACATTCAAAGATTTTTTTCTTAACAAGAGCATAGGGATAACATTGGAGTGTCTGGCAACCTTTAACAGACTCAAGGTAAAAAATTTGTGTTAGAAAATTATAAATCTGCATAATGTTTTTTTTTTTTATATAAGTTGTACCATAATCATTTTCTGATTTTACCCACCAGGCCTTATCAGCTGATACAGATGTGATTGCAAATGCTTTGAGAAAATCAGATGCTGGACTTGTTGAGGTACATACACTTATATTAATGCATCAATCTTCTTATATTTTGGTCAGCCATTCATTCCTAATGGTCAACATTCCTACCAGGGGGTAGGTACTATCTTAGATCAAATGATGGCAAACTTCTTAACATTCCGCCATGCAAGTATCTTTCCACGCTTGGTGATCAATCTTTTTATATGGCTGGCCCTAAATTATGGAACGATCTTCCCCTTTTTATTAGAAATATATCTTCAGTTAATGCTTTCAAGAAGGCTCTTAAAACTCATTTATTCCCGAAGGCACTTCCTAGCTAATTTATTGTTTTTATTCTTTTCATAAAGAAGGATTTGTATATAGGACTTTTAAAGATTAATTAGTTATTGTAAATAAGACTTTTTGTTAATTGGAATATGTTTAGGATTTCAGGATTTTGTTGAGTCAATGTAATGCGCAGATGAAAATTTTTTTCTCTGGATTGATATTTGTGCAATACAAGTAAATAAATATTATTATTATTATTTATTATTTTCTTGATAAACAAGCTCAAAGGTTACCAACTATCAGTTTCATTCTGACGGACAGCTAACACTTGAAATGTCAGCTTAAAAAACTTTTTACAGTGGCTGATTTATCAACTCAGTTGATGAAACCTAATTTTCCTTTAATTTGCCCACCGACGCAATACCACTGTTTCTCAAGAAACGTATCCCCTTTTATTAAAAGATTCCCACCTTTCTCATTGTACATGGGACACTTTTGACCTTCCCAATCCCAGCAGTTTGAAGGATAAACCTGCAGTAGAGTCTCAATTCCTTTATCCCTTATTTTCTTGAAGTACCTAACAATTAAATGAAGATAAAATTGAAGTTTTTTCATCCACTTTCCTCATTACAGATCAGTGAAGATAATAAGAAAATAAGACGAGTGTTGTCAAAACCTCTTCCAGAGAACACTGTTGAAGCAAGAAACGCTGCAAAGAGTAAAACAGTCTACTGTGTATGTCTAAATGTTCCTTGATTTCGAAAGAAATACATCACATCTAGGTACTCAAACTGGGTTCAGTGTACATGGTCCAAAGAAAGCTATGCATCACTTTATCACTTCTCTAAAAATATACATAGGAACAGATTTCAAACCCCCTCTCTTTAAATTTGATTATGTAAGCTAACAAGATTGTGCATTTACAGTTTGAACAGCTAATGATTTTTACAGTGTATAGTCCTTCCTTGAATATGTCTTTTGGCCAAGTTAAAAGACTTAATTTTAAGGCAGCATAAAAGAGTGTCACTTGGAAAGGGTGGGCAGAGTTTAATTTTTCTTGTAAATAGTCAGTTTCCAATTAAGTTGATGAACGTTATATATTTGACTGTATACATTTTTAGTTTTTATAAAGCTCATCAGCTAGCTTGCATCCAACAAGTTGTCTGTTAGGAAAGATCAAATTAAGGAAAGATCAAATTTTCTCCTTATATGCAAATAATTTTTAGTGAACATGCATAGTACTCTTTAACACTGACACCACTGTGATCTTACTACAGAAAGGGTTCCCTAAAGATTCAAGCCTTGATCAACTGGAAGAATTCTTTGCTAATTATGGAAAGGTAAGAAGCTGGAACTTGGAGACTAGTGTTAATGTGTATGCATAGGTGGGTAAACCACACTGCTTTTTGAGTGCTATGTAGGACCCCTGTTGATCAATAGAATAGGGACCAATGTATTCATATATAAATAAGCAGCCTAGTAGTATTGATATTGTCTTATACTAAGATCCTACATTGTAGCTGTAACTGAAGTGTAGGCTTACAAGTGCTTGGCCGTGAAAGGTCTGGGCACGAGACTACCATTAATTTTGATGACAATAATTGTTTTAATAGTTCTCGAATAAACCTCGCATTCTCCTGATTAGGAATCGGGTTTATTTGATCTTCAAAAGAAAATGATTATTAATATACATTAGAGTACAACTTGGTAATCTTCAGCAGCCTTGGAAGCTTAACAAGTTTCCATGTAAAACTTGATTTATCGTAATAGTTATAAATGGGTTGTTGTCCAATAAACACAGCGACGTTTAATCAAGTACACTTTTTTTATATAAGAACCTAATATGTAAGAACGTTCTAGTTGAGATTATCCAAAATTTTAAAGAACATACTAAGAACCTACCCAGACTAAGAGTCGGTTAGGAACGACTTTATTTTTGGGCCCTTTTTGGGGGGAAAAGTGTAAGGTAAGGTAAAAGAAATATAAAGGTGTGGTCTAACAAAACAATTAACTCAATTACTTTGCGAAATTTTTGACCACACAAATAAAACAATAAATTAAAAACGTTCTCCGGCTCAAATCGCAATAAAAAAAAGAACGTTCAGTCTGAGCCCCACAGTAAGACGTTCCTATTAAAAAAAAAGAGTGTAATTACGGCATTTTACATATAATGTGGAGCGTCTTTCGACTGAGTGTCGTGAAACTAGAACCAAATTAATCTCACTGGCCAATCAGAAGAAAGGAGGATACCATTAAGAGCCAATGAGATATCAAAGTAAAAACAACCAAGCTGCCTAAAGTGCGGGAAAACGCGGGCGACTAAGTAAAGCGCGGGAAAATGCGGGCGATCAAGTAAAGCGTGGGAAAATGCGGTAGGAACAATTTTGCTATTTCGTAGAACGCAAGGTGGTTGGTAATAATGATAATAATAATAATAATAATAATAATAATAATATCATTTATATAGCGCTTTATACAAAAGTTCTAAAGCGCTTCACACAAGAAATAGACAATCGAATAATGGTAGTTGATTCTTCAGATACATGCACAGCTGTTCACTTATTTTATTTTTCAATATCTTTGGCAGGTTATTTACATCATCCTGCGAAGAGATTTGGAACGTTCGTTCAAAGGATCTGTGTTTGTAGAATTTTCGACTGTTGATGAAGCAAAGGCCTTCACGTTGCTGGAATCAGTGAAGTACAATGACGAGGAACTTATTAAAATGATGAAGTAAGTGGACGGAACGATGTAGAATTTCACAGTAGAGGAAATCTAAAAACAGCCTTGTTTGAATGGGGTTTATAAATCCTGTTACATACGTCTACCATTGAGCTGGATGAGTTTTTTCTGTGCGATTCCATCAACAATGGCCCACAATGGAAACGACTATGTACATTATGTATAAAGGTAGCCGTTTGCCAAGTGCTTTGTCAATCGCTCTTGATCTGCGTTCGAGAATCACATATAAATTAACTCGTCTCCATCGCAGGTCGAAACTCGAACCTTGAAAGTTCCGAGAGTCAAGGTTCGATTTTCCGGAACTCAGAAGCTTTGATTGTTAAACCAATTCTTCTTGTCAGTACCAAACGAATTGAATAGAGAAGAGAATAGATAATACGGATATTTGTGAGGGAATATAGGGTTAAGCCACGCGTTATCGTTATCTTTACGTGAAGCATTTCTGCAACAGGGGTGATTATTACAAAAAGAAAGAAAAGGAAAATCCACGCAAAAAAGAGGAGAAAAAGAGGAAGGAGTAAGTGTGTACATGTATAAATGTGATTTTGTAATTGAAAAGATCAATGATTGTTTTATCGTTTGTCTCACGATGTATAGTCAGACTGTCAATTGTTTTGATCGTCATTGATTCTTCGATGGGGAATTTTACGACATTATCCAGTTAATTTTTTTTTTCTCTTTTTTTTTTTTTTTTTTCACGAAAAAGTGACGATGCAAAAGAGACAAAACAAGAAAGCAAAGAAGATGCCGAGGAAAAAGAGGTATAATATAGTCTCGTCATTAAACTTTTGATTCTCAGCTGTGAATGATATCTAGCTTCTCGTAACAAAAACCAAACTCATTATCTTGCAGACAGGTGATGAGAAAAGACCTATCTATCAGCGAGAGGATTTTTGATGTAACACAAAATTCTCTCAACTAGTTAGCAGGGAAATGTATGGTACCTAGAATGGAGAGGGAATAGCTAGAAAGGGGCAGTTCAAGGTCCTTAGGATTGCACTGCGCATCCTTGTAGCGCATTATTTTCCACGTGGTCAGCAAACGCACTTTTAAAAATGGCGGCTTGTTTCTCTTTCAACAAAGATCGTTGCAGAGGTTACTCCTCATTTTCTCCGGAATATCGTCATTATATCCTTTTATTTAAGGATTATCAACTTGCTCTTTTTAAAAAAACGTGAGTTTCGCAAGTACTCAGAGCAAAGTTGTGTTCGGTTTTTCCATCTAAATCGCCAACGAATGGTGTAGCGAACTAATGTTTTACGAATTTTCAAACTTGCTAGGAAGCCGTCAAGTATGACAGTGGCTGTGTCGTGCATTTCAAAAACGTAGGAGAACAGACATCTCGTGAAGACCTGAAGGTAGAGGGATTTTGAAATTATTTTTCTTTAAATTTTATCATTACTTTACAATTGAGGTCAAAACTCTCGGAGAGATTTATTGAAAACCATGGCTAACTTTGGAAAGGTTCCCGCTCTAAATTAGGCTCGATTTCCGCAGTTTTCTCGGGTCTGGTCTTGGTGTGATCCTCCAGAAAAGCCTTCGGGGAGGGGAGGTGGGGTTGAATGAGCGCAGGCTCATCCCCCGAACAGCGGCTTGTAACGTAGCCTACTTCTTTATGTGAATCTAGGGGTTAGTAGTTCTTTTCCATTACTTCGTCTGTGTCCTCTGCCCTTCCCCTTTCTTCCCCTTCCCCTCCCCCCCCTTCCTTGACAGTGCTCAGGTTAATGATTCAAACTGAGGTCAAATGACGTGGCAAGCGAATAAAAAAACTTTAAAAACTGTTTCCTTTCTCTGGATTAAAGCTGAATACTAAATGTCAAGAAATGAAAAAACCACAGAGCGTCAAAAAACTCGATAATTGTTGGTTTTTAATGCGAAAACTGAAAAATACCTTGGTTCCAGCCTCAGATACATATTGCTTTTCAACATGGCTGGAAAACATGCAATTAAGTATTCTTTCCTCAAGTCAATTAGCGCTCGTTGTCTCGTTTCGAGCTAACCCCGAAATATAGGATTGAAGTTTTCGAGAGTACTTAACTTGCAAACAATGGAACAAAGAAGATAAGAATTTATGCCATTCTTGAAAAAGTTCTATAGGATTTTACTTTAAGTATAAAAAGTTCACCAAGGTTTATGTTGCATTACAGAGTCTATTCGGTGAGCATGAAAATATCGCTTGGGTGGATTTTGCCAGAGGAGATACAGAGGTTTGTACAATTATAGCATCTTTCTGTACAAATACAAGTACATTCAAATACATCCAAGTAGCCCAGGTGATTATTATGGGATTAAAAAATACATCCAAGTACTGTCCATCCAAGAGTTGTTGTTGTGGAGAGCCTGAAGAACACAAAGACACATACATAATTGACAAAACAGCATCCTATGCTTTACCCTTACTTTTTATTGGCCGACT